GTCCATTCTGAGGTCTCATTAAAGTAACCATAGTAATAATTTTTTCTTAACCACTTAATTAGAAAAAGGGGACTCAGACTAAGCGTGTTTGGGTCGGTAATTTATTTAACGCATCGGGCTTCTTATTTCTTGTATTTTTGTATCTTTTTAACCTTAACATGTCTCATTATTCTTATAGCACAGAATAAAGATCTGTTCTATGCTTATGGGCATGTTCATTATTTCCATGTGTTTTGCGAAGTGTTTGCATCTACGAAGTTATTCTTAGTAAAATATTTTTACAAAATTTCAAGCTACAAGAAAGTGGAACCAAATCCACAAATGTTTAAAATCCTGAGAGTGTCAGGAAACCAAATATGAAATGGCCGTAATTCAGTGTTAGAGAGAAAATATATTACATCTTATCACAATATTATTTTCCTGTTTACCCATCTTGTATATATGACTGTTTCCAGAAAAAAAATGGAATTCACACAACGTCGGGAGATTAATGCAATAGGACAAAAATTACACTAAGAACACGACGACATTTTGAGGAACTGCACTTCGTTAGGCTTAGTAGTTTGTATGTCATTTCGGCAGGTCGGATCAGGCACACTAATCGAATTGGATTTTTAATATTTTCAGATAATCCCTTTCCGTTTTATGTTTTTGCTACTTCTGTATTCTGATCTTTCAACTGACTGTTTCACATGATGTAATTAAGGTATGGTGAAGTAAAGATATGGGCATCCGCAGAAAATTTTTCCGGGGGAGGAGGCAGAGTAATGTGAAATTGTAAATCGAATATAAAATTCGTATACATATGCTGAATGAATAAAGAAAGAATTATGTTTCTTATTTTCCATGTGGGGGCATATGCCCCCTCCCCTACGGACGCCCATGGTTATGCCAAGCTATTTATAAGTAAATTTAAGACAGTTGCACTTTCAAGCAGTAGTGATGGATAACATTTATAATAATTATGACGTCATACTGCACTGAAAAAAAAAAGTTGTTAAGGGCATTATCCCCCTCTCAGCGTTGTTGCCGCGCTTTGAGAGAATGGCGTGATTAACAACAGGAAGCGTGCCTTATCCCCTGCTGAGAGTTGTGACTATAAATACACGCTTGGAGTAGGGATAACCTGTCAGGATCGCGAATTCCAATAGCCGGTATTCGTCGTTTCGTACTTCAGCATTTGTGGACAGTGAATTCCCTGGCGTTGATATGAGACGGCAGTAGAACCGATTTACTGTGTAATCATAGTAGCAGTCTTGATATTATCAAATATTTTTAGAACACCTTTAAGATATATTAGAATTATAAAACTTAATGTCATTTTATGTTCGAGAATCGTGATTTACTCGGTTTTATGAATGTTATCATTATAGTATCTTTATCTTGTGGCCGTTCAGGTAAAAACTGTTGTATTCAATTCATTAAAAGCAGGAATAAAAAATGTTTTTTTTTTTAAAGTGACTCCGTTTATTATGTAATTTTTACAACGTATTAATACCAATTAATATGTCTGTCACCGTTTAATATAAAGTTGTTTTTCAGCATGTAATTATAGTTGTACAGAGAATTTGTTCTATGTACAGTTAAGTAACAGACAAAATAATGGAAGCAGGTGCATCCTTAGAAAGCGCTCGGGTTTTAGAGTTTCTTATTTTTCTAAATTTAATTTGATTTTTTTTTAACCTGTGTGTTTTACAGTCCTGGTTAAGTAACAGTGATTAACAAGTGTTTTAGGAGCAGGATTTTGCTTGATATCCGCATGTGGAAGGTTTGAGAATATGTTCTGATGGTGACACACAGTTTATTATATAAAAGTTGCGGTTTAAACTCGGAAAGCCGGTGAAATATTGGAAGCGAGTAGGCAGGCCCGCCGACAGGGGGCAACTGCCC